TTGCTCATGCTCCCTCTCGCTCTCTCTCAAATAAATAAATAAATCTTTTCAAAAAAAGAAGAAGGGAGTGGAGAGGGAAAGAGAAAGACTTTATAATGGGCCTCTTATACCACAGTAGGACATTTTAACTTTTTAACTTTCTCCTATGAGCAACAGGAAGCCATTAAGTATTGTCGGTCAGGGAGTATAGTACAGTGCCTGGCTATAATAGACAGCTTTTTTTCCTCCAAAAATTAAGATGTTGAAATCCTAACCCCCAATGTGATACTATTAGGAAGTGGGGCCTTTGGGAACTGATTAGGTGATAAGGGTAGAGCCCTTACAAATGAGATGAGTGCCCTTATGAAAGAGACCCTAGAGAACTCTCTCACGCCTTCTGCCATGTGAGGACAGAGAGAGAAGATGGCTGTCTATAAACCAGGAGGACAGCTTCCACCAGAGACCAGATACCAGATCTGCCAGTACTTTGATCTTGGACCTTCCAGCCTCCAGAACTGTGTGAAATAAATTGTTGTTTAAGCCATTTGGTCTATGGTATTTTGTTACAGTAGCCCAAATGGACAAAGATACTGACATATAATGTAGTAGGCCCAAAATAAAGCCTGTTGATTCAATGTGATTCAAGTTATTATACCAGTTCAAGATCTATACCGATTTCTTGGCAATCCTTCAGTGAAGATGACAGAGCTTCATTGGATCATTTTAAGCCACTCTAGGGGTGCTTGGGTGGCTCAGTTGGTTAAGCATTTGCCTTTGGCTCAGGATCCCAGGACCCTGGGCTTGAGTCCCACGTCAGGCTCCTTTCTCAGCGAGGAACCTGCTTCTCCCTCTCCCTCTGCCTACAGCTCCCCCTGCTTGTGCTCTCTCTCTCTCTCTGTCAAATAAGTAAATAAAATCTTTTTTTTTTTTAAAGCCACTCTTATTTCCTTGGATACATTAAACTAAACTAAGTCACTCTGATCCATAAGCAAATGCACAATTAATTGAAACTGGTTCTAGAATTATGGGATCTAAAACTCTACATCTAGAGAAGTGGGGTTTAGCTTCACCAAGATGGAGACTAGAACCTAATATCAGCTTGTGAAATTATCAGAAAAATACAGCTTTCAGAATAAACTGGTAACAACTACCATTTACTTTGTGCCAGGCAATGTGGTAAGTAGTTTATGGAAATTATTTTGGTTAATCTTCATTTAAAGCAGGTATCATTTACTCATTTTACAGATGAAGAAGCAGACTTACAAATTTTAAATAATTTACCTAATATTGCATAGGTCATGATTGCAGAATGGAGCAGCTGACATCAAGCTGAGTATCTCATGACTTTAACTGACCGCTTGTTTATGTCTGAGATTATTGGGGTTAATCCCAATCCTGCTCACCTCAGACACTGTTGGGGTGTAAAACATCATGGCCATCCATTGCACCTCACAGGGCTCTGAACATCCAGCCCTCCTGCCCCAAGTGTGGCTCAGTAGGGCCTGGAATAGTTGGGAGTCCCTGGACCACCACTGGGGTGATGAGAAACTGCCGTATCTGTTTAATCTAACTTGCCATGTAGATATGCTCATTTTTTAAGTGGGCTGTGACATGGAAAAAGTTGGAAAGCTCTACTTGAATCTAATTCTCCTCCTTCCCCTCCTCAAAACCCTCTGGAAATCCCAATCCAGTGATCAGCAAATTCCCCTACACCCTCAACCTTGGAAAGTCACTGATTTAAAACCTGGCATGTCCTGAAGACAGTGCTTCCCTGCAGCCCTGAAGACACTATAAAATGACCCATCTTGAGCAGTGGACTAGGACTGCAACAAAGATGTGTGTGTGTGTGTGTGTGTGTGATCATCATCCCTGCCCCCTCTCCCCCGCCAACATAGCTTTGTCACAGTTTTCCTCAAGAGCAAACCCTGCTGTTTTGGACCAATCTCAGATTCTGAGTCAAATAATGCTTGTACACATCCTATTAGTAAAACCTAATTTACGGTTACTTCTAACAACTAGAGATGTGTTCACAGAGCTGAGAAGTAGAAAATCTCATGATAGCATTCACTGGAGAATAATCTAAATTGTTTTGAGCATCTAATCAGATTGGGAGTGAGTGGAGGAGGACTGTTTTTTGTTCCATTGTGTCAAATACATGTTTGAATTCTGGGACTTTGACAAAAATGTCCTCTATAACTTTGGATTTCCAGCTGAATAACTCATGCTATGGAAATCTGGGCAACTAGAAACTTTCTTTAAGATAAATAAATAATAATGGGCGCCTGGGTGGCTCAGTCGTTAAGCGTCTGCCTTCGGCTCAGGTCATGATCCCAGGGTCCTGGGATCGAG